TTCCTTCTCAGTACAAAAACCCAACCTATGGTAAAGGTTTGGTTTCATAACTCAGAAAAACTAAAACACTTAAATGTCTCGTTTGTACATCAAAAACTATTGAGGAACAGGTGAGGAGGTGAACAAACTCTGATATCCTCTGTAATTAAATAAGATTGTAATATTTTAATATCTAATATTTTTTAAATATAAAAAGGTATACAGCATGTCTTAACACCCAAGCAAACACCTCTGTCATTTGGACATGTCTCCCTCTCTCCCAGCTGCTCTCTTGACACGTTGGTTTATTTTCCCTCTCCAGTAACTACGGCCCTACCATCGCGGTGCAGAGCGAGGCGGTGAAGCGGGGGTGCCAGCAGGTGCTGTGGCTGTACGGAGAGCAGGAGGAGATCACCGAGGTCGGCACCATGAACCTCTTCATCTACTGGACCAATGAGAACGGAGGTCAGACTCTCCTCTGTCTAGACTCTGAAATGTTTTTCCTGAGGTTTCCTGTTAATCACACCTTGTGAATTTACCAAAGATAAAACTGTTTGTCTGCAGAGAAAGAGTTGTTCACCCCCCCTCTGGATGGCATCATTCTCCCGGGAGTGACCAGACAGTCGCTGCTGGACCTGTCCAGAAGCTGGGTAAGACCACCAGAGAGGAGACTGAGCTCTCACATGGACTCAACAGCACAGATGTTTAATTTTCACATCCCTATTATTTTTCTCTGTACTCCTCAAATTGTCACAAAATGCAAACAGAGAACTATTGTGGCACAGTCTGATTTGTAAAGAGGCATTTTCAACACGTGTTTATAGAACAGTGAGTCAGATGTTGTGACCTCTTTGCAGTCTCCCTGAGCTGCTGCTGCTAATGTCTCCAAATGTTGATTGATTACGTCTAAATGTTCCAGATGGATAAACTGTAGAATTTGTCCCCTTATTGCATTTTTTGGTCACTTGGTAACAGTCGATATGTGTTTGCCAACCTGGGGGTTGATGTTAACTCTGAGGGGTGCTGGTAATCAGCTCAGAGAGAAAAATAAGTGACCATTGAGAGGGATTATTTTTGGAATGTCTGTACATTGTTTATTAGGAAAGTCTCACTCCTCCTGTGTGTAACTTGGGGATCATTAATCACGTCAAATCTTTACGGCACCAAAAATGTTTTTAAGGAAATATGAATAAATAACTTTCTGTGTGTCTGTCAGGGTGAGTTCAAGGTGACGGAGCGTACGATGGGCATGCGGGAGCTGCTGGGGGCTCTGGACTCTGGGAGGGTCCTGGAGGTGTTCGGGGCGGGGACGGCCTGCGTGGTGTGTCCCGTGGGCAGCCTCCTCTACAGGGGAACGGTAGGAGCTCAGCTGCTGTGCCTGCCTTCTCATGTCCTTCTTATCTTTCTCTATCTTCTGTTAAGAATAGCTAATTCTATCCTGTAATTGGCATATAAGTAAAACTAGTCCTTGTGCAGGAAATATTCCCTGTGAGTGTTTACTATTATATATGATGTTTTTGTAATAATACAACTGTATGTTGCATTTTACTCCTGTTGATGTTAAATGTTGTGTTAATCTGAACTCATGTATATACTGTCAGGTATAATCCCCAACAAGGCATCATACTCTTTAAGATCATCATATATATTTAATGACGCTGTCCAGTGAGAACCACATATCTCTAAAATGGCGTAGTTTGTTTACCTTTAAAACGTTTTTTTAACGCCTTCAGTTTTTCTTGCAAAATTCATAATCACCACATCTGAAGATACATGGTCTTCTCAGGACAGGAAGGGGATGAACATGTGTAATCTAAAAAGTAACTAAAGCTGTCAAACATATGCAGCGGATATATCTCTTGGATGGAGTGTTGTTTAGGTGTAATGTTGCACAGAATGGAAATACTTAAGTAAAGTGCCTTGAATTTGTACTTAACTGCAATACTTGATTAATCGACGTAGTGTCACCCCATTGGCAGCTGATGATGAAGATTTAAACTCGCTGATTGTGGATCATTCTGGGTAGCAGTGTGGGCTAGACTAAATGTTTCTTTCTCTCTCAGACGTACCAGGTCCCGACTATGCAGAACGGTCTGGCCAAGAGGTTCCACAAAGAGCTTACTGACATTCAGGTAAGTGCACTACAGTGTGCAACAGCTGCTTTACTGTTGCAGTTAAACTTCAATATTGGCGACTCCAAGTGGCAACAAAAGGGAACTACTCTAAATAAGATATCTGCAAATATCCATCTTCAGCTTTTCAACTTCAGCTAATATTTAAAACCTTGATGCTGAAGGAAACTGGCAGAATGTGAAAGTGCAAGGTCCACATTTCTCACTGCAATTTAGGGCATATATTGCAATTCAGGTAGACATTTATTGACTTAAATCAGGGCTGCAGTACGCAAATGTTCTATAAATGTGCCTTTATTTCCTTTTATTATTTATTTCGTCTATAATGACACAAATAACGTGTGACATTTTTTCTTTAGCCCAACGTACAAAACCCAAAGATAATCAGTAAACAATTAAGGCAATAGATATTGTTTTTCAAAATGTGTCTTTGATTAATGACATAGCAACTATCAAAATAGAGTAGTTTCCTTGTAGCAGTTTTCTCTAAAGAATAAAACTTTGTATGGATATTCATTATTTTGCCCTCTTTTCTCCCTTACCCCCAGTATGGACGCAAATCAAGTGAATGGGCCCCAGTGGTTGTTTAAATGGCCGTGCTGCACATGCCAATTGTATCAACAGTCCCATTTCCCAGCTTGGACCACCACCAGCCCCCCCCCACCAGCCCCCCCCCCACTCTCAACCCACTAATGCACTCCTGCATACCGACCGACCGGCCGAGGAGACGGTGCCTCTCTGTCGGGCTTCGTAGACTTTTACACTTCTCTTTTCTGTGTGGACTCTCCTAGGAATACAGATGAATGTAACGGTTTGCTTTGGATAGCAATATTAACAATATGCAATGTTAGGACTCGACTCCACCCTATTATTGGGTATATAGGATGATGCAGTAGAAACTGCTTTCCATGAAAAACATCGGGAAAACAAATGCAGTCAATTTTAAAACTGATATACTGTATATTAGACTAACTCAAGGATATTCAAAACGCTAATCTATTCTGGTTCATTTGTTTTCAAAATACACTCCACACATATATACTTGAACTAATTCCCTGTGGTGAAGAGCACACACATTTGTTTTTATCGACATTGCATCCTGGCATTAAAAAAAAAAAAAAAAAAAGGCACAAACTGACATATTTCAGACATCGAAGGTGAAATATTTGCAATATTAAAGCAGCTAAATATTTGCAGTGCAGTACAGTTTAACTCTTAGCAGCACGCAGTCTGTACGTGCTGTTTCTCACTAACAAACGTCATAAAACGTATTTCACAACAGGAAAACCTTATATTAACAATAACCTGTACTACATGAAACAACTTGTGGTGTATTCTCCAAAACCGTAAACTGTTACGTGTGAGTAGAACCTGTAAACGCATTATAGGATAATGTTTTGTTACGGCCGTGTACATAATGATACGAGAGAGTCGCGCTGTTAGTTTTTATGGGGCCACGTCACTTTGACACCAGTTTGCACTGACCTTGTTAAATGTCAGGTTTGTATTTGAAACCTGGTTTGACTCAGCTTTTAGGAATAGTTGTTATGTTTGTTGGTTTTTGTTTGTGAAGAAGACTACTGCACAAAAACTAAAGAAAGAGATTAAAAGGTCTAACGATAGGACGACGAGCTGTAGAAGAGAAAGACTGTTACACGCTGGCAGTTACTCCGGCACTAGTTTGTGTGTAATCAAAAACAATGTAACCAATAGTGTTGTTATTTTAGAGGTTTTTCAATTATAGTTGTCCTTGTCTCATGTGAAATTAGGCATCCTGTCTTCCAAAGTAGGGTTTCTGGTTTCTGCATCCTGGGGCTCGTGTCCTTCCCTCTCTGGTTTTCCTTACTTTGAATGTATTTGTATTTGTACACACATACTGTCCCTCTCTTCTAAGTGCCTGACCTTCGTCTGGTGGATCTTCAGCTGCTGTTTTTATGTTTCCAGTTTGTGCACTAGGGGATGTAGCTGGATTCGTTAGTTTAGTCGTTTCTAAATGTGCTGTTACTTTGAATCGGCTGTAATGTTTTTACAATAAACCTGATCTGAACTCAATCTCTCTTTGTACTTTGTATCACTTTTAAGGAACTTTAATTGACATCAGTGGGTATTTTACTATATGAAAGTTTCAATTACAAGAACACATTATTTATTTATGCCACCTGTGGATTACCATCAAACTCGAAATGGGTCGTTTTGATGAGCTATCTCAGTTTTTATCCACGCCCCCAGATCTTTTTTATCCCTCATTTAGTTGACTCAAAGGAAACTTATTAAACTAGTATTGTTTCTTTTTATTTAGGGTGTGGCTTTTATCTTTTTTTTTTAAAACACTGAATTTATTTAAAAAATGAAGGCTTATCAGAAAAATCCATTCTTTACTTCGACTTTTCTGTTGAACGTCAGAACTTTTTCAGCTGAGATTAAAATCTTTTAGGAGTACTGCACTAAAGTTAACTTTAGGTTAACATTTACTTTGTAAACAGTGCTGTCGTTCTCACAGGGTTTCATTACCTCAGTATTATCTTACCCATTTAAGTGAAAGTTCTGCTAAAAGAATATAAATGTGTATTATGAGGCACAACGGTTTTAAAGATTATTTTACATTATTTTTTTTATAGATTATTTCATCTTTTTGTTTCAATAGCATCCATGTCATGAGAACCAGTGAATCACAATACAGGTATTATTAATACCCTGGACAAAAAAGACACACTTTTTTTATTGAATTGACAATCGCCACATTCTTTAAATGTCATACAAATCTTTATATTAAATATAAATTGAAGTTGTAATACAATGCTGCATTGATTTTGAGGTTTCTGCTTTGCACAGAATGAGCCGTCTCCGTGTCGTGCTAACTGGCTATAATGACTGTAACTACACAAGAAATCTACTGTTTAATGCAAGAGTTTTATTTATAGCAATGTAAACAAATACAACCATGATTGTGTCTCCATTTGATTTTCCATGAGTCAAAACAAACAAAGATGGAAAGTGTCACAGCAACACATGTTTATGAGATTAAACCTTTAAAAGTATTCCTTTGATCGGGTTATCAGCTAATGAGGAATCAATGACATTGTATTGTTCAATGCTATTCTTTCAAAATTACTAGAAAAAAAACAAGATAAATATTTCCTTCAAGTTCAATAAATGACAGAATCGATATCACCAATAGTGCCAGGAGTGGCAAAGCGTTTGTTCTAGAAACATGGCCGGCAGTTTTTTGAGGTCATAAATCATCCTCAGAACTTCCAGCTCAAATATACTAAATGTCATTCACACAAAAAAGAGACTTAAACAGATTAAGGGTCGTTACATCTCATCCTGAACCTGAGAGATTTTTAAAACAGACATGATAAAGCAGTATTTTCTATTTATTCCACGGCTTGGTTGATTACTCGATTATGATTGGTCAATTTGGACATTTCAGAGGTTGTTAATACTCGATAACACCCCTGGAAGTCAGAGAAATCCCCAGAAGAAGGCAGATAGGAAGTAAACACTAACAGGAACACGATATGGGCTGCTCTGGCATCGTTTAAAGACTTGTTGGTGGAAAGAATAAATTAAATCTATTATTATAATTATTATCGATCAGTGCTGCCCTTCATTTAAAGTTACGCTGTTCTTGTCGCAGTTCCAGTAGAGTATTTGTTTCCTAGCATAAGCAACAGTAGTAGTTGAGTAATAGTAAGTTATTTAGGATGTGGCCGTGTAATAATCCTTCAGGGTGTTCTTGTCTCCATAATGACCGCCCCGCCACACACCCTCACACATTATTCTGTCTCCTTATCTGTATTTTTGGGGGCTCCCCCAAACACTGCCGAGGTGTGCTGACCCAGCGGGTTGTAGAGGAAGGCTACAACCTCTCCTCCGCCGTGGCAGCTTCTCTGAAAGTGGATTTCCAGCTCATCCTGCAGAGTCTCCCGATCCATGATGGTGGGGATTCCTGTCAGCAGCACTGTTCGCGGACAAGCAGTCATCTTTGTCTAGGAGGGAAAGGGGAAAAATAGAAGTTTGATAGAGCAACCACATAAAGAGGAGAACGCTTATTGTTTCATAAGAAAAGCTCACCTCTAAGTTTGTAATCTTTCCGTTGAGGAAGGGAGTCACCCTAACTCTGTGCATCTTCTCCTGCAGCTTGACGTCATGGTGCTCGGTTTCTATCAAACCTTTGGCAACTGATTGTAAGAACATTTCATTAGTTCAGATTCAGTATTCACCAGTTCTGAAATGACATGCCTTGTGTGATCTAGTATCTTAAACCAGCACAAATAATGTACAAAGTAGGGATTCCAGCGATTATTCGAATATTCGTTACAGTCTCCATAATCGAAGATTATTTTTAAAATTCGATTTTATTTATATATGTTTTTATTAATATTTATGTTTTTCTTTTTTTTTTCTGGTTTGGTTTCAACCAAAATATAGACTAATGCTAATAGTATTAATAATTGTAAATGACCATTGATCACACCACCAGTTTGTTTTACTGTAAACTTGGAGGAAGCCAGCAGCGCAGAGTGCAGACTGCTGCGAATAATCGATTAATATTCGCCAGGGCTGTCCGATTTTCGATTTTGATCATGGTCAGTTTCTGGCATCCCGAGTACAAAGCACAAACTAATGTGCCTCCTAACTGTACCTTAAAGGTTTGAAATAAGAGAGAGACTGTATGAATTTAGGGGAATACGTTTTCTAAATGGTGTCAAAGGAGTAAACACATATAAAACCGATGTATTAATATAACTGTGTACACATTCGGTTAATCATTAATTGAATGCCTTATTGTTATTTATTTATTTTATCTGACAATTTAGAAATAAAAAAAGAATTATCTCGTATATATAATAATTAATCGTATTTTAATCGCAATTACGATTTTGGCTTGCAAAACAACATAATCGAAATAAAACGATTTTCTTTTTTTTTCTTTTTTTCTTTTGTTTTTCAGTTGAATTATACTTAAAGTGGACCTATCATGCTATATTTGAATAATATAGTATAGGACCATACCTATATAAGGCATATTTATACTTTTTTTTTTTCAAAATACCAAACAGATCATGCATTTTAGCCATGCCTCATTTCGCTCAATTTGAAAAATGTTAGCTCTGTTTTTGCAAGGGCTGATTCTGTGAGAACAGCACCATCTACAGGCCTGGCATATGTACTACAGCGTCTCCAGCGCTTTCGAACGGCAATGGCCGTGGCTGTCTCCTCCTGATTGGTGGAGTTGGCCCAATAGCCGTAGCGCCACTGTCCTGACGTCAGGACAGTGTTCAAATCTGGATCAGTTTTTATCAGATCCGTTGCAGCCCCTTTTTTAGAGATTTGGGTATGGAGGAAAATAGAGAGGGTTGTGTTTTCTGACACTTGGTGAGTTCCCTGGAACACCGGGGACACATATTCATGTATAAAAGACGTACAAAAGTGCATTTTGCATGATAGGTCCCCTTTAAAGTTCAGGGTAATCAACTGTTAAAAACATACTGTTCACATTTCTTTTTTCAATAAATGGATGTTTTCAAAGTAAATGGATAATAGTTTTTAATAATCGTGATATCAATTATTGACCCAAATAATCAAGATTATGATTTTTGCCATAATCGAGCAGCCCTACATTGAGCTGAACCTACGTTCCACCATAACGTCAGTATTAAACTATAAAGAACAGAAGCTTGCTCACCGTCATTCTTCACAAAGGTGAGGGCCACGGTCCAGGAGTCAGGCAGCATCTCACACTTCTCCACCTCTCCTCCTCCGTGTTTAGTCTTGGAGAAGTGGATCTCCAGCTTGTTGAGCAGCGGCTCAATCTCCATTTTGGGCAGGCTGGAGATTAATATGTGCTGAGAACTCACTTTAGAGTCGATCTGTAGGACGGACAGGTGAGCACATATCACTCACAGGAAATGAATACGAAAACTGATCAGAGTCAAACATGTATCAAAGGCTCTGTGTCGTACCTCCACCAGCCGGGGCAGCATCAGATGAACTGGCCGGGCCTCCACAGTGATCCTGCAGTCTGCCCCCACCTTCACCTCATGCTTCTGCATCTTCAGGATATTACTGGCCACTGAAGACAGATAAATACAGAGTTGTATCAGCACTACCAGTCCCTTACAGATCATTTACTGGGATAAAGGACATCATTTAATCACGGCAGCATTTAGCTATATCTGCCGGTAGAATTATCCTGCATGAGCTCTCGTCTCGGCTCTCGTATTTTTTTAAAGCTACGGACCAGGAATCAGCACTTCTCTAACAGGGCTGAAATACAGGGGTATGAGGCATGGCTAGAATGGGTGATCTGTTTGGTATTTTGAGCAAAACACTTCATATACATGTTTGTTTATATATCTGAGACCTATCATATATGCCTAAACATAGTATAATAGGAGACCTTTAAAGTGAGCAAATTTCAAATAAGCCTACACCAAATGTTCCAAAGGTGTCATTTTCCGATTCAGACTTGCCAATATTATTTGGGTTTTAGGAATATTCTATGAACCCGTGTACATCACATCACAAATATGTTTCTGTGTGACCGGCAGCAGCTCGCTGACAGACTCACCTACTTCTTCCTCAAATGTAATGAATGCCGTCCCGCCCTCCATCGGGTAAACTATATTTGTCTCCATATCAAATTCTTGTCCGTCGCCGTCCTTTCCTGTCAAGCCGGTGAAGGCGACCTTCCGCTCAGGCACAGCAGAGAACACCTGAAATGAAAAGGTGCAGGTTTACAGGACGTGTGATGGACTGACTGCAGGCAGCGTGTTGAGTTCATGAACGTACGTCATTCTGCTGTTTCAGATGATGGTTTCTGGCTTTTTCCTCCTCTATGGCTTCCTCCACTTGCAGGATCTGCTCCTCCAGGTCTCTCTCTTCCTGCTGCCCCAACTTTAGCTTAGCCTGCAAAAAAGAAAGACTTCAGCTACAACACAGTACTGAGGAAAAGTGAAATATTATATTTAATCAGTGGTAAACTAATTAAAAATGAGAATTTGGCAAGCCATTTTTTGTATCCTCATTCATCTATAGTTACTGCGATTATACTGATTTTGATAACGCCCTTTTTTTAATTCTTAACCACATTGAAATAATAATTAAAACCTCTAAATAATGCTCAAAGACAAAGCAGCACCTGCTGATTCTTTACATGAATCTGTACTGCTTTATAATTCTCTGTTGGTTGAAAGCTGTTGTGCACTTCTGATTTCCTGATGAGTATCACATGTTATACCTCTAACAGCTGATGGGAAAACACCTGGGACAGGGCCAGAATTGTAGCTCTATTAAAAGTCCAACCACCAGAGTGCAGTGAAGAACAAATTAGATGTTATAATAACATGTTAAAGTTGTCAGATAGCCACAGTTACATTACCTGGTCCTATTTGGACCATATTAGAAATAAAAATAATAATTAAAAAAATAATTTGTGAGTTTCAAAAGAACATAATGGAAAATGTCCCTGTGTAACCGTGTAACCGATCCTGCTCTGCTAAAGATGTCTCTCCTTGTGTAAAATGCTTTTATTTACTTAACTATTATTAATTTATTTTTTATAATTATCTTATTTCTTTCCTTATTTTAACTTGTAACAGTTTTACTTAATTGGATTTTATTTTTTACTTTATTTTATTTCATATTCTGTTTTACCATATTATTTGTCATTTGAATGGAAAAGTCCTATGTCAGGATATGTCTTGATTTGTAAAAAAATTTAAAAAATAGTTCAAAAAAAAATAATTAAAATAAATAATTTATGTTTGTTTGTTTAACTTCCTGTTAAGTATATTGTTGTCCACTGCAAGTTTCAAGTGTCCACATCACACTTGTCTAAGAGTCATTTTGAGCAATGATTGGCTTGTTGTACGAAATAGTTACACATCTTTAGCTGAGATTTAAGGTGAGCGACGAGCATAAAAGCATGGATACCTTATCATTTTCCATCTGCTCTTCGTATAAGCGTTGGTCCTCTTTTCTTTTCTGGGTCAGATGTACAGTGCGCTGCCTAAACTGCTCAGCCATCTCCTGCTGGTCATTCCTGCAGGTGGCCAGGTCCTCCTGATCCTGGATCAGCTGCTCATGTTTTTTCTGTGGGCGCACAAGATGCTTTCACTAACCACTTTTAGGTTTCTGTTTTCTATTACATGTACAAGCAACATAAACACATAACTAACGTAGGTGGAGTCATCTGCATCCTTTTATACATATTTTAGAGTCTTCAGCAACACATAACTAACGTAGGTGGAGTCATCTGCATCCTTTTATACATATTTTAGAGTCTTCAGCGCTATACAAACCCTCTGTATTTTCCTCTTTGATTTCCGTTTAATTCAGTGGCAATGTTATTTTCTGGATTCATTTAAGTTATTAAAGTGTCCAATTATTCTATTCTCAATTTCTTTCAAGCACTTTCTGAAGGCTTAATAAATGCCAATAAGGAAAGCCTATGTGCAGCTGTATTCACCTGGTAATAATAATTTTTACTTCATTACATAAATTACATTCAACATAAATTGTGTCAGACCAAGTTGAAGAAGTTTAACCATGAAAATAAAATATGGTATGTGTGGCTGTCAGTAATAACCTGTCTGACCTGCCTATATAGCTACCTGCGCACATTCTGCCGTACACTCATTTGTGTTTGTTGGAACATTCATTATGATATGTTTGTGTTCAATAATTATCTTTTTCTGAGTGGTCTTTGTCGGTTGGATAATTGTATGCAGTTACTAGTTCAACCACAGGCTAAAGAAACATCAATTTATTTATCAGTGCACCTTGCAGTTGTTGATTAAAGCCTTGATGCTCTCCAAGGTTTCCTCGGATGGCTGTGGCATAACCAGAGAGAAATCCTGAAACACAAAGACACACGATAGGCGAAAATATAGAAACTTCGAGTTACGTAGACAGTTTTTAAGGATAAATTACTATTGTTACAAGTGAAAATAATATTATTATCAGAGGTGGTAGGTACAGATTTCCTGGAGTACTGTACCTAAGTAATATTCCATATACTTTTCCCATTTTATTGTTTTTATACTTTTCCCATTTTGTTGTTTTTATACTTTTTTTAAATATATAAAATATATATATATATATATATTATATATATTGCACTTTTTAATCCACTACAGTACATTTAAATCTTTAGTTTCTCTAAAGTCCTAAAATGGACAAATCTACTTTAGGACAATTTGATGCTTATACCTTTAATTCTACTTCGGAAGCATAGCTTTTACTTGTTCTACCCTTTAGTATTTATTCTTTCACTTTGGTAAAATATCTGATTACTTTTTTAAAACAAGTGTGTAATAAAAACAACCCATAGATAAAAAGCATTTAACACGAAAAATACAAATACATTTAGAAAAGTATTCCGTGTAATATTTCTTTTTAACAAGAGGAAAGAACAAGAACATGATGACTTACCTCATCGGAAGACATAGCGAAAGTGATCTGAAAAATTTACAAAATATAGTTTATCTGTCAGAGAGTCAGTGTATGAAGCAACATATTAACAAATGTCTAATAAAACACTGCGTGTCAAAAAGGAAAAACACGAGTTGAACCATAAACCTGACACCGAAGGCCCTACTTTTAAGATATAAACAAACCGCAGTCTCAACATTTCTTAACATAGGTGAGAATAACTTCGAATGAGTCACTTTCAGCGAGACTTTCACATCTGAAAATGTTTTGTTGTATTGTGTTGAACAAAGTTGGCTAAATCAAGTCATTAAAACGCTGTTCGATAAGAATTTACCTGCTGTCGACGATGTTGTGGTTCTGTGAAGAAGTCAGATTGTTTCGGTTTCATTTCCCCAGCAGATAGATGTGTTGTTCTTCCATCAGGGGCGCTGCTGTGGTGTCACTTTAACTCTTACTGCACCATTGTGTTACAACCACGTGGACTAGGACGGTCTCTTTTAATTCGAGTTTAGTGTTTTCCTATATTTTATTCAAGTATTTTATTGAGTCCAGAATTTTCATTTTGAAAAGTATTTTGTTTTATATCAGCTTCCATGTCATCTGACAAAGCCACTCAAAATCAATGCAGCATTGTAAAACTACACCTGACGTGTAGACCAAATCTTTTTTTATCTTGATTAGCTTTTGTAATCTTTTATTGAAAATTCTGCATTTTTCTACTGCAAAGAAAATGTTCCTGACTAAATGCCATGTCATGTGATCAAGTGCCCCAAATCAATACAGCATTGTAATACAGGCTCTTAAATGCATTTGTGTCATTTTCCAGTAATTCATAAATACTTCATTGAAAATGTAGCAGTTTCCCTGATGAAATGTCGGTTTTTATTAAAGTGGACCTATCATGCTATATTTAAATGATATATTGTAGGGCCATACCTATATAAGGTATATTTATACGTTTCTGTTTTCAAAATACCAAACAGATCATGCATTTTAGCCATGCCTCATTTCGCTCTATGTGCTGTTTGCTGTCTACGGGTCTGATTCTGCTGACCACGCCCCCCTGCAGGAGAGGGGAGACGTGCTCTGATCAGCTGCTGGGCTGTCAGAAGAGGGGGAGAAAAAGAGATCTCCGTCCTCCGTGTTTTATTATATAGAGTCGTTATTAATTTGTTTTAAAGCTCAATAAATAACAAAGAAGACCTTTGACCGGCACTTTTCTAATTTTGTCCGGAAGATTTCAACTTTAACGGACATCTTTCACGGTTCCTTGGAAGAGGCGGAGAGGTGGGTGTTTGTCATCTGCTGGTGGACTAACCAGAGAGAATTACAGTGCTTGCCTCGACGGGGAGGGATTGCATTGAGCAATTGCATTGAGCAATTGCATTGAGCAATCCCTCCCCGCAAGCGTTTGCAGCGGGAGCAAACGCTTGCCTCGGGGAGGGAGAAAAAAAGCCACAGCGGAGAATAAACAGAAAGACCTTTGACTGGCACTTTTCTAATTTTGTCCGGAAGGTTTAAACTTTAACGGACATCTTGACCGGCGAAAGTAACTGAAACTGAAACTCTGCCGCACGGTCCCCTCGTTCCTTGGAAGAGGCGGAGGTGGGTGTTTGTCATCTGCTGGTGGACTAACCGGAGAGAATTACAGTGCTTGCCTCGACGGGGAGGGAGCCGTCGACAAACACCCACCTCTCCGCCTCTTCCAAGGAACGAGGGGAACGAGGCAAGCGTTTGCAGCGGGAGCAAACGCTTGCCTCGGGGAGGGAGAAAAAAAGCCACAGCGGAGAATAAACAGAAGGGTAACCATGGTAACTATGGGCGGGAAGTCTTCTTCGCTGCTTTTGTGGCAGACTACAGCGCCACTTACAGGCCTGGCATATGTACTACAGCGTCTCCAGCGGCAATGGCCGGCCGTGGCCCAACCCCACATTCCCCTGATAGGTGGAGAGTTGGCCCAATAGTCGTAGCGCCACCGTCCTGACGTCAGGACAGTGTTCAAATCTGGATCAGTTTTTATCAGATCCGTTGCAGCCCCTTTTTTAGAGATTTGGGTATGGAGGAAAATAGAGGGTTGTGTTTTCTGACACTTGGTGAGTTCCCTGGAACACCGGGGACACATATTCATGTATAAAAGACTTACAAAAGTGCATTTTGCATGATAGGTCCCCTTTAAATAACTTCCAACTCATTTGAACAAGCGACCCCAAATCAATGCAGTTATGTGAAAAACAACCGTTTACAGTAAACGGAGGGAAATTAGACACTGTACTTCACATTGAGGAAGTAGTATTCAAGCATTTGACATATTACTACAGTGGATAGTACTGTGAGGGAAACTTCTGAAGCAATTGAAATCAGGACTCGAGAGCTGGAGCTTTGATGGCAAACACTGGCGGTTTATTTGGAGCTTCGGCCGGAGAATTCACAAGACATGTCATGATCCACGAGTTGACACAGGTTGAGATACCAAATCAATTCTGAAGCACTGTTCTGTAGTTCGAGGTTTTAAAGGTCCCATGTCATGGCCATTTCTACTGATCATAATTCCGTTGAGGAATACTAAAATAGATTTACATTGTGCAATTTTCCAAACTCACATTGGTTTCTCATACAGCATCTCTGTATAGTATGTGTATTCACTCTGTCCTAAACGGCTTGTTGGAGCTCCTGCCCCCCACTCCCTGTGAGCCCAGTGGCCGTCTGAGAAACAGCGAAACACAGCCCGAGCACACACACAGCCTGGCTGGGAGTTTGTGTGTGTGCTCAGACTCACAGCCTCGCCGCGTCCCGCCGTCTCAGGCGGAGATGCAGCTGAGAAAAGATTGAGTGTGCGTAACAGCTCCGCGGACGTAACGGCCATTACGTTACTATACCCAAGAAGAAAACAATGGAAAAAGAAAAATCTCCAACGAGGTGTTCTGGGGCAGCATAGACAGGTCTTTTCTGTGTTAGAGTTGTACTCGCTACAGGGTGTACTTTGAGGGTTTGTGACTCTGCAGACCGTTTACATGAATAAAAGGCTACATAACACACAAGGGGACGGGTAACAACCAGAAAAGCATGACTTGGGACATTTAACTAGTTCGGAGTGTAATAATCAACATTCATCAGCGAGACTAAACAAATATGGACCCTGAATCTAACTAGAGCTGTCGTCCATAGAAAAGAATGTGCGCCAGGGAACCTACGTTCCAGATAAAAGGGCCTCTAGATGTCCCTGAACAATAATCTCTCTCGTGTCAGCTTGTGCTCGGTTATAAACTGGCAACAACAAATGCGCCCAAGCTGCCCCTCCTTAAGAGAGATAGCAGCAATACCCAAGGCCGTAGACCTATGCCATGGGCAAAGAGACCGTGAAAGGAGAAAATGATGAACTGTGTCAAAGGTTGAATACCTAAGCAAATTATTCCCCAACAAGTACTATTACAAGTCATTTCTAAAAGAAAAGTACACCTGTAAGCTTCAAAAAGTAAAAGTACTCGTGTTGGGTATAGCCATTGAAGAATGTATCCCTTTAATGATGAAGCTGGTCATGCTGGTGCAAATCATATACCATGTATGGTAGCCTATTATATAATATACAATTATTTATTCCAACCCATTTAGCATTAATATGAATCTACAAAGGAACTTATGTTGAATTAATGTAGTGCAGTAAAAACAAAAAACTTCTTCCAACATGTATGTTACAGAACTAAAGAGACAACAGTCAAAATCAATTTTTAAACATTTATTTGTGAAAGCGAGTGAAGTTAGAATCGGAGCTTCTGGAAGAACCACTTGTTCTTGCCGGTCTTGTACCTGAAAAACAGAACAGAAACACGTTGGCACATTTTCTCTGATTTCCCCTCAAAAATACATTTTAAAGAAATCCAGTCCCATGTGCCCAAAAACTATATTGTCCAAGAAAAGGGATGTGATTGATATTCAAAGAGTTTTGCTTAGACAAGCCCCGGGATCATTTTAACTAAACCAAATGTATACTGCAGACACAACATGTGGATAAGATGCATTTTGCAAACTCACCTCTCCTCAAACTTGACCTTGGCCTCACGCCTGGCTTTGCGCTTGAGAGCAGGGTCCCTGAAGACATCCTTGTTAACAACAGTTTTGTCCAGAGGAATATCCACGGAGTATCTGAAGGAAACGGAAAACAATTGTTAGTTTTTTCAGATCCTCCACTTATCCAGGATTGTTTATTGAGCACTTTATTTATGTGAAGCTTGTTGGTACTGAGCAGTGACAAATGGTACTTTGCCACTGCTCAGATTGATAACACATGCAATGACTTAAGCCGACCCATATCTGTATGAGCCTTTCAGTTTAAATCTAGTAAATAAAGAGACTTTAAAGTTATGCAGCTTTCTATACAGTCTGAATTTAGGCACATCTAACTTTTGTAAACATCAGATTGAGCTCTAAAATATCTTTAGCCATGTAAAGGATTGCTGCTGAATGACATGTATCCAAATAAATCCAGATTTTATTTCTTTACACAATTAAAATGACTTCAAATTCATGTTTTGCTTTTAATCTAACCTTCACAATATACCATCTTTCAAATATAATACAGCTCAACTGACCCTGAGCAATACCAAAACCAGTGACTCAGTTTCTGAAAGTGTTTTTACTTCTATATGAAGAACATTAAATGATAATGTAATCATGGTTCAACAGCTTAAGGTTTGTCTAGAACAGAACTTTATAAGCTATGGTCTAAAGTATCAAAGAGGCAAGCTATGTTTAATGAAATTAAGCGTGGGAAGTTGTAGTTAGTACCTTTGATTTAATTATCAAAGGACAAAACAATATAACACAACTGCTATTCTTTTACTAGGGTGTAATGGCCGTAATAAGCTTTGAAGTGTATCAATTAATTCTGCAGAACATATTGCATTATCACCAACACTGCCACACTGGAGAATAAGCACTTAATCTATGCACATGCATGCAAGTAAATAAGTTATCCAATAGAATATCCCGTCACAGAAAATAAGCAACGTCTCTTACCTGGTTGGCATGAGGTGGTTGTAGTTGAACACCTTGACGAAGGCCTTGATCTTGGACCTCTTGGCGATCTTCTTCTTGCCCATGGTGGTTGTCACCTTACGGGGATAGCGGTCGATGCCTGCGACCAGAGCGTGGCTGTAAGGACGGTCTGTTGTGCCATCATCAATGTTCTGCAGAGACAGTATAAAAAATGGGCGAATGTTAGACAGAAAATGAATATAAAATATAAACTGACGTAACATGTTACTCAAATGTGAAGGTTCTCTGATACACTGCTTGTTACTAGTCAGTCACATTAAGTCCCTAAATGTAAAGCCAGCCACCAACAACTCATTAATACTTTGTTCATTTATCAAACAAAAACAGGCCTCGCTTTTGGTCAACTACAACTTTGAAATGAGTGATTTGGTTGCAAAAAGAAACACCATGTGTATAGAAATAAGTTAAGTTTGAAAATAATAGTCTTTCCTGACAAGCACTAAGCTTCTGGTGAACATTCCGGTATGTTTTCTATTGCCAAAAAAAACATTAGGAGGATTTCACCTAAAATTGTGCAGCCCTAGCACATATACAATGAATGTGTTACTTTTGTTGTTGCCTGCACATACACGAGTACAGCTAAAAAAAATAAGAAGCTGCAGTGTAAACAAACATCCAACTACAATGTACAGAACATTTAAGAAAAGTATAGAGCCCAATTATTAACAAAAAGTCGTTTTAACAGTAAAAAAGTAGTTCATGAGTTGGGATGTGTTATAAGACTGTTGTTCCTTTATATACAAAAGAAAGCAAGCTGAAAAGGGGGTTAAAAGTATTGGAGATGGACATAGGAAGCAGGTCAGAGATGAACTACTAAAGGCCTGCGCTGAACGTGTACATAACATGAAGAGAAAGCTGTTTTTGCACTTAAAAGCTGCAGACACCATCCAGCAGAGCCAGGTCTTACCTTGACGATGACAGCTTTGCGTCCGGCGTAGCGTCCAGCTAGGACCATCACCACCTTGCCAGGCTTCATGAACTTGCCCATTCCTACCACAAAAAGATTACATTGTCAAACCCCTGAACCACAACAGTTATTCAATAACAAAGAAAAACGTGTGTAAACATTGCCAACTCAAATGTTAAAGCTGGAGAGATTTCCAGTTTCCTGCTCGCTGTTGCTGCCTGATTAGCTGGCTAGGTTAGCATTAGCATCTAGCCATGGTTAACAACAATTAACACTGATTCCAGAAACTTATACAATGAACTTTTACAGACGGTAGTGGTACGATAACCGCTGTTTAAATCATGTCGATACAGCCCAATATACTTCACAGTCTAATCATTAGAATAACGTGCTCTTTGAACAGGCTGCTCAGGTAAAAACTGCCATGTTGAAATGGGTGCTACGGAGACGAAGCGTTGCACTAAAGAGGGATTTTTCTGCATTAGTCCATAAAAAATACATCGAAATAACAGACTCATGTTGGCTAAAGGAGTTATAGTCTTAAGTGTTGTACGATAAAAACTATGAAATTGCCCAGATTTGAGCGATGTCTGTAGATTGTTTAAGGCAAATTTCACTCACTGATGCTGTTCTACGGCCACCGCTAACAGGAAAGGAAGCGGAAAAGGAATTTGTGACCTTTGACGGTTTGGATCGACATACGTCACTTCCGGGAGTATTTTTGTTTTATTTATTTCTCTAAAAGGCAAATGCATGACTCATTGCTTATATTGCTGAATTTTCTTTTTTGGATTTCATACATACAATGTTTAAAATATTTAAAAATATTCAGTAAAATATGTTTACTGTTATAGATCTAAAATACAAGGAGGAAGGATACAATATTTTAAATGCTTTAAAACCAATGGTGGGATGTCACTTAGATATATATATCTGTTGTAATTTATTGTCTTTTATTGTGATTGCAGTAATGTGTTTTTATTACATGTACAGCACTTTGGCTCGACCAAAAATCGCTTTTAAATGTGCTTTATAAATAAAACTTGATTTAATTTGATTTGATTTACTCAAGTACTTTTCTTGTGTTTAAATTACTTTTACTTGAGTCATTTACTTAAATTATTTAATAAATCATTTTTATGTTTTACAAATCAATAGTATTCCCGAAGGCCTTCGTACTTCGCTACCTATGCTTTTTTATTCGATTTCTATCAAAATGGAAAGATAAAGACTCAAAAGAAGCACAATGTTTCATTTACTAAGTTTAATTCGTTTACAGCGGTAGGTATGCATATAAACATGATAAATCAAACAAAATGAACACCTTTCATATATCCTTATATATTTCGTGATTAAATCAAAACATAAATAAATGATTCAATGTGTCTAGTACGACATGTTCTGATATGTTGTCTACTTCAGAGCTGAGTTAAAACATGCTATGCAATAAATAAATGTCTCTTCACATTAATCACAACATAACACCTGAACAAAACACAACAAAAAATAAGGAAAATAGAAAGATAAATATAGCATTACATTTACTACACATAGCTCAAACTGAACACAAAGTTTAAATTGACAAAGTAACATAAAATACATTCTAAAAATGTGTCTTCAGGGGAACTCAAGTTGCAAAGTGCACAGGTTTGTTTCTTGGGAAAGACAAAATAAAGTTATATTTTATCAACACGCATACTTAGACGTTTGACACATACATGTTGGCCCAGGATGACTTAAGTTTCAAAATACACACAAATGTAACTAAACGTCAGTTTAGTAGCATCTATGGTTTGTACATTCAGTATTTAAGGATATGATTCGTGCAACTCAGCTGTCTCAGGAAGAAAAAATACATTTCTCTGCAAAATAGGAAACAAGACAAACCAATTACTTTCCTTCAATTGTGTTATGTTGGGGACATAAGCCATTGCATCCTTCTTATCATACAATATCACTGTCATTCAATTTAAAATATAACTACACCTGGAATAAGAGAAAAGCAGCAGTTCATACAGGGTCTAACTCACCTGCAACACAAGTGCAAGAAGTGACAACAGCTTCAGAGGTTTAAAATGTAGTCATTGATAGTTGCATGTTCCTTGACAATGTTACACAACACATTAACTTCAAGTTCGATGGAGATATCTTTTTCATTTGAGTTGACCTGAGTGCTTTAGGATCAACCATCTGCTACACATGATTTACCAACAAAATAATAAATGCCCTCACAGAAGTCACTATACTTTTCATTTACTTATGTTTTATTTTATAAAGTCACTTATTTATGGAGCCTTAAATTACCTTTCTCCTCCTTGGATCAGATGTTATGTTAGCCACAGATTACTAACGTTGTCCAATGCTTTTCTTTAAAATGTTACGAATGTGTCCAAAAAAACTTACTGGAATTTGAAATATTTTAATAACCTTATTTTTAAGAATGAATCAATTGTTTAAATATTTCCTGGTGTTGACTTTGGCATTTTGTTTTCATGTTCTTTAAAAAAAGTATCTATTGATTGTTTTTGTCTGTTGATATAATCTTGCTCTTTGAAGCATTATTGGCTCTTTGTTAGAAAGCTGCTATATCGATAAAGTTGAGTTGAGTTCACTGTGAACACAAGGACCACTTTACACCCAACAATCTCATGATACTGTGTAGAAGCCACAGTATCGAGTTTTTGCTCATTCATTTTCTTCATCCTTACACATTAAAGTATTGATTCATTTATATACGTGTATATGTACGTATATATGCATGTATGTATATATCCAACCTCTGTAGTTGCTGCATAAGTGAGGACAGTATCATGTACACACAGGGGAATGATGACAGTAAGATGAGCACAGGTCGCAAAGGTCAGGAAGGCTTTTCTCTACACACGAGGAAATCTCAATCTCCGTTCTAAGGCATGTTTACAGTACAAGTAGCTTTGCCATCATGACATGTTGGCATCTTTAACATGGTGGGAAATACTGATTATGTTTGGCTGAAGCTCACACAACAGAGTCATCCATGCATGTACAGACACCACATACTTGCACTTTATTTAAGATGGGGAACTTCTTAACTAACCTTTAAAAAGGTTAAATGCTTTTGGTACTGAAGTAAGAGAAGTGTAGTTGATAAAATACTTGATATCTCAGACTACTATTTACGGATGTCTTTCCTACTCAGAAAGCATCCTTAATATTCTTCAGCTGCCGCACAGCCAGGTCCACTGGGAGGTTGAATTTGAGGTGGCTGATGCGGCCCAGGATGCGCAGGGCGCCTTCGAAGCCAGTCTGGGCCATGTAGCTCCAGGCCTGGTAGTGCGGGTGTATCAGAGTGCCAGACTTGCACAGCAGGTTGAGCCACGACACCAGGCGCTGCTCGTTCAGAGCCATGCACACCAGCGCTTTGAACTCTGTGTCTGGGCCCCGTTTGTAGCGCCCGTGCTCCTTCAGCACAGTGTGGACGGCCCACAGCAGAGATTGTTTAGGGGTGACGGTCACCGGGCCGCCCCCTACAGGCAGGCTGAAGGATTGTGAAAGCTGGCGGGCCGGCGTCTCCACAAAGGCCTTCCCATTTTTGGAGTGGTAGTATTTAACAAAGAGCTCCCATGGGTGCATGTTCTGTGTGGCTGTAGAGTAAGGCAGCAGGCAGGAGATGGGAGCCAGCACCAGGCTCATTGTCTGGGAGGGGGAGAAGAGGCCGTGAGCCAACAAGTCTTTCAGAGCGAACGCCAGCTCCTTCCTCACCGACGACGTCAGCTCGTCTCGGGGTCCCAGCGCCGAGTTGCTGGTGTAGTTAACAACATGTTCAATTGAGGGCTGTCTGCAGGAGCCCAGCACCCGCACCTTGTCCACAGCTGTCTCCAGACGCTGCAGCAGGGGCCCGTAGTCCTGCTGCGCCGACTCGTGAGGCCAAATGTTCTGAGGGACGTGGCCGGGCGCGCAGCCAAACTGGCTCGCAGCGAAGATCTGCAGAACTGCGAGGGCCTTCTGGATCAGCTGCAGGCCGGTCTCTCGCATCTTCTGGGCCTGCTCTGGATCCACTGCAGGGAGGGACGAAATGCTGTATTAATACTGGACAGAAACACTGGTGCTTTCTGAACACCATCTTCAGTTAACTCAGTGGTGGAAAGTAATCAGGTTCATTTACTCAAGTATTCTACTTGAGGACAACTTAAAAGAGGCTTTCCATTTCCTGACTATTCTATACTCTTTTTACAGTTTGGAAATCAATACTGTACTTTTTACTACTTCACTACGCTTATTTGGTAACTGCAGTTACTAGTTAGAGATACAGATTGATAATACAAAATATAACTATAAATATGTATTATTCTAGGTTAAGACACACAGCAGTGTATAATAAAGCTATGATTTACAATATGGCTACAATTGGCACCATATTTTCTGCAACATTAATATGATGAACACAATAAAGCATTAATATTTATAATTGATTTATAACACATATGTTATTTAGTGATGGGCATTTTGCATAATAATTACTTTTAAATTCAGTTCTTCAAGTATGTTTTGATGCGAGTACTCATATATCAGTCTGCTACTCGTTTTGTTACTACAAGCATTAATGGCACCTGCCGTTAGACTTCGATATGAACTGACTAACCTCTCTTCATTCCTGGAGTTTTGTTGTTGGTGCCTGCTGCTCGTGGCTGCTGGCTGTGTGCACCATCTGGTAACAGAGGGTTCCCCACCTCGTCTTTTGGAAGGAAAAGCAAGGTCATTTAACCAATAATAAGAAAAAGTAAGACATGAAGACAAATGAGCAGGCCATGCAATGAAACAAGAAATAATTTTCCACTTGAATGACAGTTTGTACTGCGTATGAGACTGCGTACCCTGGATGAAGTTGATGAACATCTCCAGGTCTCTGATCTGGGTTTTGAGCTGATCCACCAGCTGCTCTTTGACCCTGGCTGGGTTCACTATCTGAGCGATGGCCGAGTCCACTCTCTGTCTCAGCTCCTCAGACGACAAGTTCCCGATGTCCTCGTTCAGGTTCACATCCAGCTTTTTGATCAACTCGTCAATGATGACCTGAAAAGACAGATTAAGTGAATTTATTGTAGGGTATTATCCAAGCTTAAAGTGGTAGATTTATAGTGTGTTGTTTTGTCTCCAGAAGTTGAATTGCAGACTTTTCATCACTCTCAGGTTAAAGTAATAAACTTGTTTAAAAGACAACGCTAGAAAAACTAACATCGTTCTCATCAGCCTAAACTGTAGGCTACTTTGTATCTGGTGCCAATTATCAAACGTTAACAAAAGCTAACAATGTCAACTCTGATGAACATGTTAAATATCAAACCAGCTGACAATCAACATGTTGGAAAGTTCATCTGAAAGCAGGTTTTGAATGGCCCGAATGTATTTGGACAGGCTTGTCATTAGACATGTAAGAAAAATACAAAACCCTGAAGCATTTTAAACCTGATCTAAAATAGGTAGACACCATGTCATTGTGTGTGATCATTTGGATGGTAGATTATAATGTTATGTTGTATTAAGTATAATTTTAAGTATGAGGATTAAAGGTTAGACAACTTCTAGCTGGTATGACACCTCAACACGTGACAGGATGAACCCAGTTTTAGTATTGAATTTAGCATTGGTACATTTTCACAATCCCACCTTCTGTCTCTCCATGACGACGGACTGCGGCAGCGAGTCGTAGCTGCCCTCCTGATAGGCAAAGCGCTCCAGATCATCTAGCTGTGTCTTCAGTTGGAAAATGAGATCCTTCTGTTTTTCCCTCTGAGCCTCCAGGCGCTCCCTCTTCTCCCTCTCATTCTGATAGGTGAAACATACACAATAGTTTTTATTTGTACAGACAAAGAGAGGAGAGTGACCACTGTAACGTAATGTACTAGATCTGGACCAATGTAGGATTTCTACTACTGATAACAAAATCAATATTTAAGGTTTTGAGAAAGTCACAGCTGTTTATGTTCCTTTTGTGTGTATTTTCTCCTTATTCTAAAGCCCTTTATGCTCCATTCTTGTATGAAAGGTGCCTTAAATATACGTTCTATTATTATTAGCAGCTGCGACTTTCAGTTCTTGCGTCACAACATTTACACAAAAACTCACAAAACAAACTCTCACAGAGACATCAGGTGTTATACTCACCAGATCCCCCTGCAGGTAAAGTATGCAATAGGGGAGAAATTAAATAAAAAGACCTTTAGGGTGTGGATTGTGATGGAAAATAATTTCAAATCATTGTTAACTGAGACGTTACTTCAGTTGAGAGTGAGTGTAAAGAGGCATGGAGTAGTACACAATGGCAGAGAAAAAGCAGTTTCTATTAAGATGGCTATGTAAACAGGAGCCTTTATTAAACAGATAGTGATCTGCTTGAGGCATTTTCATTTAGCCTGTGAGTCAACACAAAAGCGACATTTTCCACCTGAGATAAGGCATCAATGGGAACACAGCAGAGGTGGGAGCAGCAGCCTCTTTTGTGACGCAACAAGCCCGCTTTAATCAGTTTTACTCACAAACCTCACAACCACTGAGGTGAATCACTGTAGTTAATGAGACCAGGTTTAACACCACAGACTCACTGGGCATTTGCCTGAATATACATATACCTGGGCATTTGCAAACTGGATGTTTTGTCTAACTCACAGTCTTTGACCAGATCAAATGCACAAAATGTAACATAAGACAAAGAAAAGCACTACATTCTCACAGGAAAGAGGCTGGACAGAGGGACAATTATGCACTTAGCCTAAAAAAAAACACAGCAACTCATCAATTAGCTGTTTTTGTTATAGTTGTAACTATTGTTTCACAGTTAACAAATGGACTATTTTAACTATTCCAGTTCCTGTCAGAGACTCAGACACCTGTAGCATGGATGGTTCTAATATATTATTTTATTTGACATACATGTTTCTGACACATCCTTTTCTGGCATGCATTCAAGAGTGTTTATAACGAATGTGTATCATCACCACAGTGTTTATATTATGTTGTGTGGTATCAAGTCATGAGCATTAACTCACCGAGTTCTCCAGCTGCTGGGCATCCGGCCCCCTGCAGCCCACCACATGAGGACAGCCCCTGAAGGCGAACTCCTCCAGCTCCACCAGCATCTTCTCCTTCTCGTCGCTCTGGGCGTGGACGATCTGCTTCAATCGGAACTGAACCTGGGCAAAGTGTGAGGTGAGGGCGAGGAGAGAGGAGTTCAGCAAGTCCTGCTCCTCTTCCAGCTTCTCCAGCCTGCCGGCCATTTCTCCCTCGGTGGCCGTGGACGAGCCTCTGTGCTTCGGCTGCCCAGCGCTCCACCTCTCATCCTCCGGGCTGGCCACCGCTCCGACCGGTGCCCAGCGCTCCCCTGCTCCGGCTAACACAGCCTCACTGTCCGAGGCTGACAGCTCCTCTGTCGACATTTTAGCTAAAGGACTTCAATACAGTTGTTTGTCAGCGTCTTTAGTTTTTTAACAGTCTGTTCCTGATGCTTTGTTTTCTTACGTTGCGCAGACAACAACAAGGATCACCACAGGAGAAACAGGTGTATCGCCATCTTGGGAAGGATGATTCATACGTCAACGGAGATACGTCAAACTAACTAGGAAAACCGGAAGTCAAGCATTTCGGCTTCACAATAAAAGCATTCATGCTGCTTAAAAGCATAGACTATAAAGCTTAAAAGTCATCAAACTCTAATTTAAAACGTACTTATTTAATTTGTCATCACATTTTCTAATAACTTCATTCAAATAGTACTTTTCATTTTTTCACCTCAACACTTGTTGTAACAGTTGAATTTCCCCTGTGATTATCAACAAAGTTTGTGTGGTATGGATATTTCTTTTATATTTATATTTAATTGCTATAAATTCAAAACATGTTTAATCAGAGCCTATGGTTTTACACTGCTCATAAAGGAAGGACCCATAATCCCAAATAATAAACCCACAATCACAGATAACTGGATAATAAAAAAACTGTTGTCTAATTATTTGTCTTCTTCTTTTCCTTCACCCTGTTTCCTTTGATAGAAACATATATTTCACACACAGGAATGGTTTGATACCTTTTTATTGTTGTAACATAACATGTTGTTTATTCGTTTTATGGTTTTATGCAGATCGAGCAGAACAGTGCATGTAACTTCTTAATTTTTTTTAAAGAAAGATCAACACAATGTAAACTCTTGAAGATAATATCTTATTACAGATTATGCCACAAACATCTCTATAAAGTACTGACCAGATAACAGTACTGCATCAGATTCATTTATATATTTAGGTGGAATCACATACATTATAATCATACAATTATGTCAAATTATACCCAGAATTTTGGCTGATTATTGATAAAAGAAGTTGAGGCAGCTGAAGCATAACATACAAAAACAGATGATTCACAGTGAATACAATCATAACCTGAGTGTTTTAATGGACAAGGTGGAGTTTCAAGCAGCTTGGATTAACAAGGATCCATTTGACCTTTAAATTAGTTATTATAATGCCAATGCCCTGATCTTCTTGCATGTAGTAGTTGTTGCAGAATATCATAACCTCAAGTGCAATTCAATTTCAATGTGTCACCTTCACCCTTTAACTACTTTCCTCTCAGAACAAAACAATTGTCATAAAATCCCTTTATATTATTTCCCATAAGCGAATTGCAGGCAGAAACAAATGACAGTGCAGGAAGGATTTTTTTCACACAATAAGAGCTCTCTTTTTGTTGGCGAGGAACACGTTCCAGTACTGCCAGTGGACCCTGGCGTTCTGGATGCAGTCTCCAGTGTCAGTGCAGGTGTAGCCCTGGGGACAGCAGTGCATCATGTCGCTGCAGCACACCGCCTGTGAAGAGGACAGAGGGAGGAAGGTAACACTGTTAAGTAAAAACATACTCTATTACAAGTAAATAACAGCTTCTCGAGCACTACTTAAGAAAAAGCACAGATGTCCAAGCTCTCATTAACATTGTACTATTTTCTTTGAATACATAAGCAGCATTTTAATGTTGTAGCTGGGGCTAATTTTGACTTCATAGTGTTGGCTAATGTCATCAATTGCAATTGATGATGTTATACATCAAGCCTATTACATATTTTATATTTTTGAGCATGAAAGTGTTGTCAGGCTTCTCATCTAACCCTCTGCAAGAAAGCAAATATTGCTGAAGTTATAAATATATGTCTACATGTGTATCTAGACATTGATATTATTGTTATAGCTAAGAGTGAATTCACATGTCTGCATTTTTTGTTTCAGTGAGATTATTGTCACACTTTACTGACCAGTCCTTATACATAGAGTGTTTTGTTTGTTACTTATATGCAATAATATTGCTCATTGCATTTCTACATCTCTTCAGTTCAAGTAAAAAAAACAATTTGATCAATAAAAAGTTATGACAGTGTATCATACATTAGGAGATGGACAGCAGCCCCATTCAGTCGGAGATGTCTTGCAGCAGGTCTCTCCGTCTTGACAGCTGGTCACTTCATCACACTTGACGTCTCTTTCGTTAGAGGGAAGGAGCAGGGGTTGATGCTCGAGCAGTGTTAGAGGGACGGACTCCAGCTGCAGCATGATAAGCTTCTGACAGGACTTAGAGCCACTGTTGCAGGTGTAACCCTGCGGGCAGCAGTGCTCCTTATCTGTGCAGCACACAGCCTGCGGACACATATGCACACGGTTCAAGAAAGTCACTTCCATTGCTTTACATAAGCAAACCCTGACAAAGATAATGCACTGGTAGGCCAGATTGTATTCCCTTTCTCATAAAAGAGGTAGGAAATAGGAAGAGGTATGTAGGATATGTATGTATGTTTATCCATCTTCCCGATCCTCAAATACTGCCATATGTGAGGAGAAAATAAATGTGCCGATTTGGCTGCAAAATAGATGTACTGTTAACATATACTTAGAGAAACAAGATCTGTGTTAAATGTGTCCGAGTTATTACCCCTCAAGAAATTATACAGCTGTCCATATTCTTTATTGTTGTCAAATGACTACATTTGACTTGATGAATGAATATTACGCTACTGCTAATCATTCGTCAATGGTACTTTTCTCTACTGCTTTCGGCAATATAGGTGTTCTGATATGTCATGCAAATAAAGGTTATTTGAATTTGATAGTGTCTCTTATACAGTTATCTCCACACCCAGCGCTCACATTTTGTAGCGGGCAGCAGCCCCACTCGCCCGTCTGCAGTCGGCAGCAGGTGGTGCGTTCAGGACACTGAGCCTGCTCCTCGCACTCCACAGAGCTGGGATGTGCCTCGATGCTGGTGGTGGCAGGAAGCTTGGTGTACCAGGGGATCTGCACTTCCCCTTTGAAGCATGTGGTCTTGCCCTCGTTACACTTGTAGTTTATGGGACAGCAGTGGTTCCCATCAGAGCAGCACACAGCCTGTTGGGAGAAATGAGAGTGGTAGTGCTACTTTCACGTAACCATTCTGTTCTGAATGTATTTGCAATCTCTAAACAAAATAAGAAATTGTAGGTTACAGCCAGAGCTTGGGTCACTCTTATTTCATGGACTGAAAATCTATTTAAATTCATTAATACAATAATCAAGGTAACCCTTCATCTTTAATCCCCCTTGTTAAAACTACTACTCTCATTGCAGTTATGAGATGATAAGATATGTTTATGAAGGTATTTTTTATTTTGTGGGCACACATTGTTGGACTCATGATAATGAATGAAAATATAGTAAAACTAATAATTTCAAATATGTCTGTTGTTGACTGCACACACTGATTATCAATCATGTTGTCATTATATCTGTTCACAACTGCATTGGTGTTATGTGTTAAAATGTTTTGTACTCAAATGTTTATACCTTCTCCATGAATGCTAAACAGAGGGGAGGACTAAAGTAAAGTACGATAGTTAATATTGAAAATAGTTATGAGTAGTAGTAGTCAGATTTATGATGGTATGTTTATGCTATAAGGTGTTACATTCCTTGTTGTTGTCAGGCTGGGTGTTACTGGAGGTCTGTACCCACCTCTTTCAGCGGGCAGCAGCCCCACTTTCGATACTGGTCCATGAAGCAGCATGTGGTGGACCGAGGGCAGCTGGTGTGGGCGTCACACAGAATGTCCTCTTCCTCGTCATGTTTCTCCAGCTGTGCGGTAGTCACTTCCTCTTCGTCAGGCTCGGTTGTTTGCTCAGTGTCGGTTGCCTCACTTTCGGTTGTAGCCGTAGTGGCCACTGTAGTTGGTGCCACTGTTCCAAACGCAGGTAACTTCTGCTTCATGGGCGTCGAGCCCAAGCTGCCGTCACATGTTTGACTCACCAGGTTACAGGTGGTGTCAGCAGGGCAGCAGTGCTCGAGGTCATCACAACAGACCGCCTTTTTAACAAAGTGACATTGTTGAATATAGGAATTAACACGAGGAAAAAATCGTAAGTCGAAGTAAACACAAGTTCAAGTGCAGATAAAATCAGTGCGAAAAAGCCCCAGCTTGGAGTGATAGTTTAATAATTTAAGAAATGTCTATTTTGCTGAGAATAAAGGGAGAATATGGATACCAATTAAATGTCCGACTCCGTACCTATGTGTCCTCACACCTTAACAAATTGTTTGATATGACCAAAGCAGAGCCCCAGCAAGACGGTTGTGGTCAATTGAAAATAATTAAAAGGAAATAAATACTTTGTTGGTTGGTTTAGGAAAAAATATCATAGTTGGGGTTAAATAAGTATGTTTATTACATAACTTAAGTCACAAAGCCTACATTCCCCTCGTACATTTAAAACGTTATGTTAATAGAAGTAAGCCAACATGGACTTTTGGTTTCACACAGAACATGAACAGCACAGCAGTATCCTGCGTTTGTTTGACCTATCAATCCATCCCAAAAAGCTCCTTGGGTGGACCTTGTTGCTCTTTATCCTACATCATCAGACTTTGTCCTTTGCACCCGTCATAATTACTACGTCCAATCGAGAGCAAACTCAAATGGGTTTGTAATTAGCTGCCCGCTGGTAGTAGCGTCAGATTTACAGAGATGTAAGTATGTAATTTCATATTTCCAAAAATGTTGAACTGTTGCTTTAACAAAAATAATGTGTGAAACTTTTCTTTGACTAATTTAAATCTTACGAAATTGTATTATTTAATTATTTAACATGAAAGTGAAAAACACTTTGCACATTCTGCCATATTTTCACACTAGGTGATGGTAGGTTGGTTAAAAATGTTTCTTAAAAATCATCAGTGTGTGCATGTTGCTCTGTGTGTTTACTTTAGGTAAAGGACAGCAGGCCCAGTCTCCTGTTTTGGTCTTGCAGCAGGTGGTCTCATCAGGACAGCTCTTGAGGGCGTCACATGGAACATCCTCCACCTGTGCCCCCTGTCTGGGGATTGAGGGTATCTTCTCGAACCAGGGTTTGGAGTATGTGTTGTCGTCACAGGTCTGAGCAGCCAGGTTACATGTCTTACCTTTTGGGCAGCAGTGAGCGAAATCTTCACAACAAACAGCCTGACATGATCAGAAAGATGAAGAGTCATTCATGCATGTCATAGCCTTAGTACATTAAACTTAGGACTTAGAAAATGTACCTCTGGTAGAGGACAGCAAGACCATTGGCCCTCCTTCTTTTTACAGCAGGTGGTGTTATCCGGACATGCCGATGTAGAATCACAGACCACATCATTTACTGAAGAAAAAAATATTCTGCCATTAAACTGAGAACAAATACAGCAGAATTGAACATTTTAACAAAAACAAAAACTGGACACCACAGTACATTATAGTGCTCTATCTTTACAGTCCACTTTTGTAACCCCAATATTGCACCAAAAAAGGTACATTTGTATATTTACGGATTTGTGTTGTGCCCTTTATCCAAACATATTATAGATAACTCATACCAATGTAAAACAGTCATTAGTAATGGGAAAGCTACTACATGCAGGATGAATGGTGCTGTACTTTCTTTCAGTTTTGATAAACCGTCTCACAGCAAAAATGTGTCCTGTTATAAGAGGAACTGGTACAACAAGAATCAGTGCCAAGTCATGGGACTCACTGAAACGCCTACATTAAAGGGAAGGTAGCCATTAATAATATTATTTAATCATAACATCTGCTGTAAGAAAGGTCAATTCTTAACTTTAACTGCCAGAAACCATTTTGTGATGGATCAAAATCGATGCATCTGCTCTAATCATATGTATCTTTATTGTTTTTTCTTTGCATGTTATTCATACTTTGATGCATTATAAACATCTTACTCTGGCAGCTGTCTGAGTGACAGGTGATACTTCCGTCTCTGTAGGAGAAACTGTATATACGGTGGTGAATTCAGGGTCTTCTGATCCACCTGTAACAACTGTCTTTGCAGTGACTTGTTCACCTTTTGAAAGTGAAAACATACACACAAATGAAGCTGAATGAACACATAAACCTACTACTGATAACACACCAATGACATGAATAGTACCACTGTAGCTTAAGCTTATCAAATACTTTCATTTAACTATGTGAGGGACAAAGAGACAAAACATCCTGCTTTGGTACTTTATCTTTACAGGGTGTAATCTTGTTAAGTCAATTGTGCAACCATTACAAAAATGATCAGAATGAGCAAGTAAGTTTAACAGCAAGACAAAAAACTAATCTGACCTTTGTGGTTCTCCCAGTCTGCTCTGATCCTGGCAGGGAGTTTGGCCCACATAGGAGTCTCTTTTTTGGTAGATGAGGAAATACATTTGCCTTCCTCAACATTACATGTGTGCCCTTCAGGACAGCAGTGTATCTTATCGTCGCAGCACACGGCCTAATTACACAAAAAATGAAGTGTCACCTTAAAACCACACATGATAAGACATAATAAAGTCATGATTACCTGACATTCAAATCCATTATCTCCATTATATTATAGAGTAACATAAGCATTTCAAAGCTGTCCCCCTCTGCATGACTATGATGAAAAGTTCAGTTGGTTTGTACTGGTTTGTACCTTTGGCATTGGGCAGCACCCATACGTTCCATCTGTCTTAGACAGCAGGTGGTTTCATCTGGACACTCTGACACGCCGTCACTGCACAACACTGTAGTCACTACCTCTGCAACAAAATAATGGGAACATTTACAAATATTCAGTTTATTTAAAAGTAAACCCCTTATAAGATTATGGAATGTTTATTTGTACAGGATCTTTAAAGCACAAGCCAATTCAAATTTACATTTTGAAATAATTTACACAAGACATACATTGAAATGAGAGATAAAACAGGTGCAACATGTGAAAAATAGTCCATAACTACCAAGACTCTAGACTTGGTTTGCAGTCTTAAACGGTAACGACTGTGGCTGAGCACTGACTTTTTATTGTTCTTCTTTGGCTACAAAAAACAAGTATTTTTGTTTACCTTGTTTAACAGTAGGACCTTTTGTCATATCCAATCAAATATTTGTTAAATGCACTTGTGGGGGTCCATATAACTATGGTAAGGTATTTTGTTGTTTTCAATCATCTCAACTAGTGATAGCAACTAAGTTAAAAGAATAGGTCAAGGACAGGTGTAATCTTTGACATTCAGACTGTCTAATAATATGATGCGGAAGAGAATTTAGTCTACTGTAATGACCTTTCTTGATGCAGGAACGACAGTCATCGCTGCACTGGTGGCCCTCAGGACAGCAGTGTTTCCCATCAGAGCAGGGGACTCCCTGTCAAATCACAATATTATTCATATCTATCATTCATAAATACTCACATGTTTATTAAATGTAGGACAAGTATAATACAGTATCTTAATTATAATACTGTGAATAGGTGAAGTAGTTAGACATCTCAAAGTGCATTCACTGTTCTCTGCACTGCATTGCACACTGTTGCTTTACTGCGATCGAGTGAAACCTAACAATATATCGGAGGAAACTGCTGTCTGGTGAGAACTTCCTGTTATCTTTAGTGTACAAGTTTTGTAAGATCCTCTTGGTAAAAGGGAAGTAACTAAGATTATGGAAAACACAGTTTACATTACATATTCATTTAAAAAATATTACCGTACGAGTTCTTTATCACTGAACTCGATGGACATCATAGTTTTGTTCTTAATTTTCCTGTTCTTCTTTTACTGGGTTTTATTTTTGTATTCACTACTTTGTGATCTAAATGACCTGTTAGCATTTCGTGTGAAAGAAAACTACAAATAACTACAAACATTATAATATTGTAATATAATATCAGGTTTGATGTAGGTTTTAAAAGGTTGATTCTTTTGTCTTTTTGTCAACAGAATTTTGAAAAAATGACTGGCCAAGATTTCATGAACTAGGTCAAGGGCTGTAGCCAAGGGACTAGGATAGATTACCTGAGCTAGGGGACAGCAGCCAAACCTGGTCAGAGCCCTCTGGCAGGAAAACTCAGGTGGGCATCGAGACTGATCAGGACAGATGTTGTCTTCCTCCTCCCCCATGAACGCCTTGATCATCCTGAAGGACTGCAGGGACAGGGAAGGAAAGAGGGCACTCACCTTTATGTAAAACTGTCACACAGTATTTCATCATAAAGCCACATATATGTTATTCTTACTTTGGAGATTCCGGGCTGATCAGCAGAAGCTCTTTCCACCCAGGGGATGGAGCCAGTAGTGTTCAAACAGCTGAACGTTTCCGCATGACAGAGAGTCCCCGAAGGACAGCAATGCATGTGATCCGCACAGCACTCAGCCTACGAGGACAGTAGTAGTAGATACATTTTGACTACCAAAGTATTAGAACTGCTATCACGTTAGCTAAATGAGGGATGAGCTTTTATCTGGCCCATAAAGCGGTAACACGACACTTAGAATGAATAGTACCACTGTAGCTTTCATTATTCTTACTTAAGAGTACTAGACTATGGGTTATCAAATATTCTAATTTAACTATGTGTGGGACAAAGGGCCATACATTCAGCTGAAGTACTATATCTTTTACGAGGGTTATCTTGTTAAGCTCAATTGTGCAGCCTTACAACAGGGAGCAATACATTTAGCTGATTCAAATGGGTTTAAAGTTTTAGCTTGACAGGGTGCAAATCCTTCATGCTCTTTTTGGTATTATTTCTCTTAACTGCACAATGTAAGCTTATTTATTTCAAAGCCTGTTTTAAAAAAAATGTAGTGGGGGTAAATAAGGACACCTATACTCAAGTAATGTACTTACAGTAGGTATAATTATGACTATACATGGGTATTTAAATATCCTGCTAATACATTACCATTCCGAGGCATAGAAAATACAAAATATAATGAACAACTAATTGCTGTGTATTGTTATAGGTTTGGATGTGCTTTATTAATCCCTTGTTTAAATTATCAAGCTATGGTTAAAAAAATGCATCAATAACTTTATTTAACAATATATTTCTACACTATGATATTACTATTTTACAAAACACACAACACACTTAAACTTTATAATGCACACCTGCAGGTCTATTTTCACACAAACATATTGTACATCCACACACTGTTAAAAACTATTAACAATTTAATTAAATTAAATGTATGCAAAATGATGTATTATTTTCACAATATATCATTATTATGTGTATTTTCTTCTGAATATCTTAGTGTAAGAATCAGTAAAGTGTCGGTTCAGACAGGTGCACAATATACTTATTATGTGTTTATGTTGTAACTTTGAAGATATTTAGGGGATAATGAGGTTGTTAAATGGCCACCTTAAGTTAACTTAACTCAGTAGTAGGATTACTACAAAAAAAAAAAGTCAGTTACAGGTAGATTAATTTTGTTTAGATTTTTTGTATGATGAGGTTAATTTATGAAGAAAACATGAAGGTAGTTCAACCACGTCTACCTGATCAAACGGGCAGCATTCATAGCCGTTGACCGGGTCGTTGCAGCAGGTTTGACCGTCTTTACATCTGGCTCCATCTGGACACTCCTCAGCACCAACCAGAGCCAGCAGAGCGCAGCAGATCACACCCCAGCTCTGCATCTGCACACAGGGACAGGCAACAAGGAAAGTCAAGTATGTGCATTTTGAATCTCCCTCCCCATCCAGAAATAACACGTTTACTTTCACTTCTGCCAAAGCTGCTGGTAGGCAAATAAAAAAACGCATGGATAATCATATTCACTTTTTTTGTTTTTGTTTTATGTATTTATTTAACCATGCATACAAATCACAAATACATTAGTCTCAGAAAAGAGAATACATAATTTATGCCAGATTTTGGCTAATAGCTCATTTCCATCTGCAGTTCTTAACTTGTGGCTGCCTGTCAAAACTCATGTTGTCTTTTCAAACATTTAAAGTAAGTAAAACATCGAAAACAAAATGCAATTTAATCTGAGAGTTAGCTCTGTCTTCATTTACTTCCTGAAAGTGTACTAGTTTCCCCTTTTCCTTGATCCAGTCATTGTTTTGCAATGATAATTTGCAACCAAAACAATCTAAAACTTTGAGTAGCCTTTAGTGCTGTGTCTGTGAATCGTTGTCATAGGTTTACAATTCACTCACATTTGTTAAGAAGTATCTGACAGTCGCTAAAAGGGAAGTCTGTTTTGGCTCTTACATTATCTGATGGCTGATCTTGGCGATCGTCTGTGGTGAGAGGTCAGGTGTTTTAGCAATAGTCTCTGCGACCTAATAACACAAATGGCAATGTGTTTCGTCTTTTTACACTCCCCCATGAGAAGAGAGAAGAAGAGAGAGATAGAGAGATAGGAGAGGATATAGCTGAGAATAGAGCGAGAGATAGAGAGATAGAGAGAGAGAGAGAGAGGAATCAGAGAGAGAGACGAGATAGAGGAGAGAGGAGCTAGAGAAGAGAGATATAGGCGAGATCTAGCATATGAATGAGATCTCAGAGAGACTAGAGAGATCTACGAGCTACTAGATCTGAGCGACAGCGATAGAGCTATAGAGTATCGATATCTACTCCCGATAGAGTAGAGATTAGATCGCTAGAGAGCTTGCTGAGAGAGAGAGAGAGAGAGAGAGAGAGAGATTACTTTCCCAGAATGCCTTGCAGCGGCTCGGGTGTCATCAGATTTTAAAAAATACGATTACGTTTGATACGCTTTCTCTAAATAACATACAAATCCAGTGAAATTTGGGATAATTTTGTTATTTTGCATGTATGTGAAATATCATATTTAAAATAATTATATGTATATGTTAAAGATTTGTTGTGCAATATAAAGGCATCATTTTTTTAACTGAGTGCATGTTAAAAATAAACGACTGAGAGAATAGGTTCTGGCTCATAATTGCAAAAACTACCTTTGTTTTTTAAATGTGACAATTAAGAACAATTGTGTAAATGGCAAAAGTGTACTTCTGTTGGTACTGCACTACTTTTAGAGACACACTTGGGTAATGACCATGCATCACTTATATGATGTGGTCTTATTTCCAAGGACCTTGGTCATAAATACTGTACTGTACCCTGTATAATCTTCATAATAATGAATAGGTACCGGTAGATAGAAATAAGAAGAAAAATAATGATTCTATACAGATTATTGTTCAGTAGGTCATGCGTAGTCCAGCCTGGTATAGAGAAAGGGGCACTGCCTAATTTAAAAGTAACATAATTATACATGATCTCTAAGTTTCTCTCAGACGTGAATGTAGTTGCTCTGTACTGTAGGACATACATAACCTATAGTAATACCAAAAAAAGGTATAGTATTTACATAAAACAGTTATCATCTATGGTCATACTTATGTCCACAACTGTTATGCCCTGAATCCAATACTTCGCATCTTGTGCCCAAGTACTTACATGTAGTAGCCTATGGCAGGGCTGGGACTACAAATCAGCCCGGGACTCTCGACCGGCCCACTTCGGTACCGCCGGCCCACCTCGGTAAATTATCAACGGGGGGTGCTAGTGAGTTATCCGAGCGGCCCACATCGTCCGACCGGCCCACTTCAGTACCGGCCCATCGGGATTCGTCCCGGACGTCCCGATGGCCAGTCCGCCCCTGGCCTATGGTACACACTGTAGGCCTACTGGTACACAGTCAATAATACAACACATCGTGAACTCCAGTCCCGAGTATTTATGCAGTATGTTGCACTTATGGTTGCACTCGGTATTAAGCGTTACCCAAACTTGTTTACATGCGGCAGCTGACATGACATGTCCACCAGGCGGCGGCAGAGCTACAGCACGGGAGGGGGCGGGGCCAGACGACCCGGACATGTTACCGCAGATCTCCACAACAAGCGGATGGGTCTCTCTTCAGCACTACACAGCAATATCGCTGAGTGAAGTTTTGTACAGATTAATGAAGAGTACATTTTGTACAGTGCCCCCGCAGCGACCTAAGCCCGACTCCAAAACATGTTATCTGCAGTGGAGAACCCGAATAAGTTGCAGCACGACAGAGTAGCTTAAACGTTAGCTCTTAAATGTGTCAACGTTACCCTGAAATGGACGAAGAGCCCTCTATTTCACAGACACGCTGGGAGCTAAAGTAGAGGTGAGTAGCTTAATCTTACAACCCAACAACGTTGCCTGGAAAGCTAGCTAGCCACTGTTAGCTAAATGTCTCTGACATGCTGACAGTTGGCTTATGGTGGATAAAAAAGTACACAGTGTGCCATTAAAGGATTTCTCACAAACACGGTACACACAGCTAACACCAGGTCATTTAATTGATTGAGTTTCAGATTTCAATGAAAACCTAGTCATCAAATGTTGTTTCATTAACACGAGTGTCGTTAGCTAACATTGTGAAGCAACGCTGTGAAGGTGAAACACCCCATGCCCCAAACACATTCAGTGTCTGCTGGTCATAAAATGCACTTTATGGTTTCCGCTGCATATCAGCATAACATTTTTTCTAAAAAAGCTAAGTAGTGTCGGATTTTAATTTAAACCTGGTTTCTATTTATAATTCCAATTTTGTCTAATATTTATTGACATCATATTATACCCAAAAATGTCCTTGATGGCAGTATTTTAGTTCATTTTGTTAACAATCAAATATATTTAGTGACATGTTAAGTGACGGGTTCAAAATACAATTCTTACTATGTTTTAAATGTAGTAGTACCTATTTTAAATTTTACCATTTCAGGTTTTGATTGTAAAAATAGTTTTGACTTTATGACACTTTTAGAGACATTTTTTGTTTTGTTTTTTTAATGCAAAACCCTCAGGGCCAAGTGACTCTGTCATATTTAAATGTAAATACATCAATAAATACTACAGGTAAAGGAGGACACATGGCAACAACACACGAAGGAAACACTAAAGAAAGTGTCACTGTTTTCTGCTTGTTATGGATTAACCCTTAACCCTGTTCATGATTTGAACAAAAAACACTTATTCAAACTAAGACATGACTTCCATTAAGACATTTCCAAGTTGACTTTAACTTGTTTTGTTCCATTTCAGTATTTAATGTTAAATGTGTATTTATATGCTACAACCCACTCCCTCAAAAAGCGAGGTGAGGCTCTCACTGTCTGCTTGGTGCATGCACGGTGTAGATAAGCTATCATAATGTGTCAATGACCTCAATATAACAACTACTCCTAGTCAGCTCACATTAACATATGTCTGACTCTATTACAGTGTAATATTATGCAATTTCTTTGAAGGAGGACATTTTGGTTAACTTTGTTGAATACCCTTTTTTAATGTGACATGTGTTGCCAATACACTGACTTGTAGCATTTTAGGAGCCTTCCACATTGAGCATTTTGAAACAACAGCACATAAACTGGGTGTTAGGTTTCTGAAGCTGCAGGACACAAACATTATTTATTTCGTTTTTGTACATAACAATGAGAAATAGACCCCTGGCTACAAGAGTTCCACATGGTTTAAAAAAACAGCTCTGTGAAGGTTAGTTACAGAACAAAGTGTTCATACTGTGAGGGTTTATTTTGGTTCTCCTTGGTCTGACAGGTGGGCAGGATGGGGGAGCGGGCGGTCAGCGGCTCTGTGGCTGCCATCTCTCCGGTGCAGCAGATGCTGGCTTCTGGCACTGGAGCCCTCCTCACATCTATTTTTGGTGAGATAATGGAAACAAAAGCTAGGAAAAGCAGCTTATGTCTGTATGTTTAGAAATGTAGTCTTTTACAATGCCTTTATTTTCGTCAGAGTCTTACACAAAGTTAAAGCTACAGTCAAATAAAAAAGTCCTTTAAAAGGGCTTAACAGTTGGTATAGTTGCTGATCAGTCAAAAAGAAGGAAAACAAATATTCTCATAATTGTTCAAACATATTTTTTCATGCAATAATGGCAGAAGATGCTGTTTTCAGCCCTTCTAATGTAGGGTTTCATGTTTTATATCATACTAAACCTAATATCTTTGTGTTTTGGCCTGGACAAATGAATGTAATGACTTAATCTTCTGACATACCATTAATCTAGAAAACTCAAGAGTAATCAGTATGACAATTTAAGTAAATTGCAGCCATGTACTTTAAAGGTCCCATGTCATGCTTTTCTGGTTATTACCCGTCCCCTTGTGTGTTATGAAGGTTTTTCTGCATGTAAACGGTCTGCAGAGTCACAAACCCTCAAAGTACACCCTGTAGGGAGTAAAACTCTAACACAGAAAATACCTGTCTATGCTGCCCCAGAACGCCTCGTTGGAGATTTTCTTTTTCCATTTTTTTCTTCCGGGAACCAAGTGATGTAACGACGATCCAAATGGACCAATCCGAGGAGCTCCTCACACACACACACTCAGCCTTATTTTTCTCAGCTGCAGCTCCGCGGATTTCTCAGCCTGGGACACGGCAAGGCCCGGCCCGGGCCCGGTCCGAGCACACAGACAGACCCACAGCCAGGCTGCGGGTGTGTGTGTGTGTGTGTGTGTGTGTGTGCTCAGGCCGGGCCTCGCCGTGTCCCGCCGTCCCGCAGACCCCACACAGCAACCAGGAAACAACCCCAGTAATCCAGCTCACACTGTCCGCTCAGCAGCGAGCCCCGCAACGTCCCACCAACACGGCACCCAGACCCCATGCAGCATTCTCATCTGTTTGT